GGTGAGGAATTTATGCTTGACTCCCCTGTCATGGTCAGATCACTTCCTAGTGAGGTTTGTGCTCGAGAGCGACATCTCCCTCTGTAAGGGTGCAGACCCGATTGTGTGGGTCCGCCCCCGGAGCCGGATGGATCCGGAAGGATTCCTGAAGGCTCTGGGGGAGTTTCCGGCTGACAAGACGGGTGCTCCTGTCGAGGCTCTGGTTGAACTGTGGAATGGGGAGATGACCAGGGCTGTAGACACGATCGCTCCTAAGCGTCCTCTCCCACCGGGCAGAGCCCGCTCTTCCCCTTGGTACACTCCAGAATTGAGGGCAATGAAGCAGGTTGGGAGACGGCTAGAGCGTAGGTGGAGGAAATCACGTGATGAATCTGACCGAACACACTTAAGAGCCCACTATCGGGCCTATGCTGTGGCGGTGAGGGCGGCGAAAAAGAGACACTTCTCCGCTTCCATTGCCTCCTCACAATGCCGTCCGGCGGAGCTCTTTCGAGTGGTGCAAGGCCTGGTTCACCCAGGGCCAAAGGAAGAGCTGACTCCACCCTCAAAGGCCCGCTGTGACGACTTTGCCGAGCATTTTAGGGAGAAAATCGCTCAGATTCGTCACGAGCTGGATTCCACTATTGATTCAGAGGTTTTAAGGGAGACACCAACGCTGCCGTCTGGTCCAGAATTATTGGATGAATTTCAGTTATTGCGGCCCGATGATGTGGACAAGGTGCTTGGACGAGTACGTCCTACCACTTGCCTTTTGGACCCTTGCCCGTCTTGGTTAATAAAGGATTCCAAGCACGGGATTGGAACCTGGATCTTGGAAGTGGTTAACGCTTCTCTGAGGGAGGGTCGGGTGCCTGCCCCTTTAAAGGAGGCGGTAGTCCGACCGGTCCTGAAGAAGGCGTCACTGGATCCAGGGATGGCCGCTAACTATAGACCAGTGGCCAACATCCCGTTTCTGGGCAAGGTGTTAGAGCGAGTGGTGGCGGGACAACTCCAAGCACTTTTGGATGAAACTGATTATCTGGACCCATTTCAGTCCGGCTTCAGACCCGGGTACGGTACTGAATCTGCCTTGGTCGCCCTGTACGATGACCTGTGCAGGGAGAAGGACAGGGGGAGTGCGTCCCTGTTGGTTCTCCTGGACCTCTCAGCGGCTTTCGATACCATCGACCATGGTATCCTTCTGGATAGGCTGGCGGGATTGGGGGTCGGAGGCACCGCTTTGCGGTGGTTCCGCTCCTATCTCAACGACCGATTCCAGAAGGTGGTGTTGGGGGACTATGGCTCTGCGCCATGGCAGCTTTGCCATGGGGTACCGCAGGGTTCCATTTTGTCCCCTTTACTGTTCAATATCTACATGAAACCGCTGGGAGAGGTCATCAGGAGGTGTGGGCTGCGGACCCATCAGTATGCTGATGATACCCAGCTCTACCTCTCGTTTTCCACCAATCCAGGTGAGGCAGTGGCTGTACTGAACCGGTGCCTGGCCGAGGTAATGGGCTGGATGAGGGCCAATAAACTGAAGCTCAATCCAGACAAGACGGAGGTCCTGTTGGTTGGCGGTTCGGGCTTCAGAGAAGGTGACCTGAACCTTGTCCTGAATGGGGTTGCACTCCCTCCTAGGGACAAGGTCCGCAGCTTGGGAGTGCTCCTCGACCCGGAGCTTTCACTTGAAGCTCAGGTGACAACAGCGGCGAGGAGCGCTTTCCTCCAGCTTCGGCTGATTCATCAGCTGCGCCCCTACCTGGAGTACGACTGCCTTGCAACAGTGACTCATGCGCTGGTGACTTCCCGTCTTGACTTCTGTAACGCGCTCTACATGGGGCTACCCTTGAAGACGGTCCGGATACTTCAATTGGTTCAGAATAGAGCTGCCAGGCTGCTGACGGGGACTGGACGTTATGTTCACATGACGCCAGTTCTCCGTCAGCTTCACTGGCTCCCCATTGAAGTCCGGGCCCAATTCAAGGTGTTGGTAATGACCTATAAAGCCCTAAACGGCTTGGGTCCTGGTTACCTGAAGGAGTGCTTACATCCATATTTGCCCAGTCGCCCCCTGAGATCGGCGGGAGAGGCCCTTCTCCGGGAGCCCTCCGTGAGAGAAATTAGGAGGGTGGTTACTCGGAGAAGGGCTTTCTCAGCGGTGGCGCCTAAGTTATGGAATGCGCTCCCCAGAGAGGTCCGCCTGGCGCCGTCGTTATTTGTTTTTCGGCGCCAGGCTAAGACCTTTTTATTTAAGCAACATTTTAAATGCTAAATACAATTGAATTTTATCTGGCCAGGGCGGCTTATTTTATAATGTGAGTTTTAATTAAGATTATTTTATATGGATTTTAACTTGTTTTATCTATGTTGTAAGCCGCCCCGAGGCTTCGGCGAATGGGGCGGCATAAAAATGTTTTAATAAATAAATAATAAATAAATAAATAAAATGGTCTGCACAGGAACAAGAACAGGTTTCTTTACATTGAAACAGTAGCTCAAATTCTCCAAAGCAAGGCAAGTATCATTTATGGACTTAGTCAGAGATTCTTTGGAATCCGCCACAATCAGCCAGTCATCTAACTTAAAGATAAATGTGTATGCCTCTGAGTCTTAAATGGGCACACACTGGTGCCATACATTTAGTGAACACTCTTGGAGCAGAGGAGAGTCCAAAAGGCAACACTCTGAATTCATAAGGCTCTGTTCCAATCTTGAAGCATAGAAAGTGTTAGTAGTTAGAGTGTATGGCATGTGAAAATAAGGGTCCTTCAAACCATTGGAGGTGAACCAGTCCCTTTCCTTTAGCAGTGGCATTATAGATTGAAGAGAAACCATACAAAATTTCTTATGGGCATTGTATCAATTTACTCTTCTTAGATCTAGTATGGGCCAGTACCGTAAAATAGCGAGCGTAAAACCCGCATTTAAGATCAGACTGATGCACTGGGCAGATGGCCTCTTTTGCTAGTAAAATGATAATTTCTTCCATCAGAGTAGGCGATGGAGTCGTTGTGTGGACCGATCTGAGAGGTGGTAGGGTCTCAAACTTGATTTTGTAGCCATTTCTTACAATGGAAAGCACCCACCAGTCAGATGTGAAAGCTTGCCAAGTGGGTGCATGATGGCTCAAACAGTCTCCAAATGGGCAGGAGGTCAATTCTAGAGGGCTGATTTGTGCCACCCATCATTGCTGTCTCGTATTGCCTTCCAGGTGCCTCTTGGCTGGCTGGGCTCTAGAGGTGTCCCTTCTGCATGGGCAGCCTTGGGAATGGCTGAAATATTGGCAGCTTTGACTACCAAGCTGTTGCCTACCCAACAGTGTATAATACAGAGCCTGAGGGTTCCATGGCCACTTATGTTGTGAGGCAGATGGAACCTGATCCCTATCTGTTGAGCAGTCTCCCTTGCCTTCTGAATGGTGTCCAGACACTCACTGGTTCAGGCATGAAAAAGGCCCTCTCTGTCAAATGGCATTGACTCTATACAGGACTATGCCTCTTGGGGAAGATTCATTGCCTGAAGCCATGTGTTGACATAAAGAAACCAGGTTGCCTTCCCTGAGTTGACTCCACAATCATGGAGTTTGGGAAAGGATGATGGAGCAAAAAGGGAATATCCTGCTCCTGCTTCTCAAGACAATGCAATGTCGGATGAGAGTGGTTAGGGACTTCCCAGCACTCTTTCATAGCCTTCAACAGGACTGGTATAAATGGGATGGTTATCAGAAGAGCATCCTCCAAAACGATGAGGTTGTAGATTATATCTGAAGTCTGCTCAGCTGATTGTTGGACCTGTATTCCAAGAGACTTTGCCATACAGAGAACCTGTTCCAAAAAGGAAGATCTCTCATGCCTTTCCCACTGAGACACGCTGGGTTCCTGCTGTTGTTGATGGATGGGTCTTGATGGTAACCAATGACAGTGAGCAGTCAGAGGCAGAGCCAGCCAGCTGTACCAACAAGCATCTGCCATCATGTCCCAAGGATACTTGTGGCAGTATTGTCCTGGAGCTGGGTACCAGTAGGGTCATCCACAGTATGGACGTTGGAGTGGATCCATGGCTGAGAGTGATTGATGCACAATCATTGGAGATGGTTGCATGGAAGATGGACCATAGCACAAGCATGGAGTCAAGGGAATGGCATCTGGCAGGTCCTGTCAGTGAAGCGAAGATCTCGGCTGAGAAGAAGTTGGAGATTTTCTGATTTTACCGTCTGAGAATGATGCCAGAGCTAGTCTTTGGCTGGAGAATATAAACTATGCAAGCCACTGACTGAGCCTCTGAGATTGGTCATTTAGTCATTTGGGTTCCCTGCCCTTCCAATTGCACCCTTAATGAATATTACACCAACTTATATCAGTAATAGAGCTTATGTAGAAGGGTAGTAGTAAACATATACTACAACCTTGTCAGAAGACTTTTGCTGTGGCTTTTCCACACAGAAAGAAATAGAAACCATGCTCTGCTCACTAACAAAGTAGCAACACTTAAAGGGTTTAATTTTCTTGGACCCTATTGCTCAAAGAAAGGAACATAATGTTATGAATAAAAATAGAATACCATGCACAGAAGGTAAGCATAACTTAGGCACAGATAAACAAAACTTTTACCATCAGCTTAGAAAAGTATTGGTCTGCTTTCAAAGAAACCATCACTGACTGTATTTTGGCCTGTTCAAACACTGGTATGCTGAACTCGAACAAGCAGCTAGGAATGTACATTTGACTTCTGCACCACTGGCTTTGGAGGCAAAGAATAAAATCACAATTAAAGACTCCCATGTTGTGGAATTCAGTCCGGGCTAACACACTTAATTAGTTACTTCTACTTGTATTTTTACTGAAATTTATATAACTTTCCATAGAGACATCAAAAAGATAAGGGCATCAGAACAAAATAAACTATAATAATAAACTCCTTATCTTTTGTTGCTGCCCTGATATGGCTGGGTCTGGTTCACTCCTATGACAAAACCACACAGCAAAGTCAAAAGGCAAAAGTCAGAAGCACGGTGTTACCAGTTAAGAAGAGGGGCAGTAAAAAAGCAGGCTCAGAAGCAAAGCTGAGATCCTGATACAGGTTAGTGATCCAAATCAAGCACACTCTGAGAAACTTGGTCCAGGGAGCAGCAGCATGGGAGATCAGCGAAGAGAAGAAGCCCGGCCAGGAAAGCTTAGGCTGCAGTGGCCTAGGAGCTGAAAAAGAAATATTGTTCCACAAAGATTCAGCTGTGAGCATATATGGTCTTGCCTCTCAGCCCATATTCAGGTCTGGTTGAAAACAGTTCTGTCTTCAGGGCTTCACTACTCCTGAGAAGTCCTCTACTCTTGATTAGAAACACAGAAACATAGAAACAGAGTGTGTCAGAAGGGGCCTCCCGGGCCATCTAGTCTGACCTCCTGCACCAGCCGGCTCCGCTCACGACATGCCCACCATGTGGACGTCCAGCCTATCCTTGAACACCCGCACTGATGGGACCTCAATGACACTGACCTCAATTAGTCCTTTACTCTTGAGAAGCCTGCTTGCTTTGTGCCAGGGACAGGTAATTTGTAACCCTCCAGATGTTTTGACCTACAACTTCCTATCTCATCACTAAACATACTGGCTAGGGTTGAAGAGGGCTGTCGGACATACATCTGGTAGGCCACTGGTTGTCCAGCTTTGGGCTGCACGTTCTGCCTCTGAGTGCCTCTGTGTACATATGGGTATTGGCCATCTGGGGGGCTAGAAAATGGCTTGACCCTTGCTCTGACTATATACGGATACATCATTTCCAGCACAATTGGGCAGCGTACAAATGGAATGAATGAATGAATGAATGAATGAATGAATGAATATGGTAGTGAGTTGGGGACTACTTCTACAGGTCTGTCCAATTCTGCAGATGGACCCAGCATGGCCTCCTCAGAGATGCTGGGGCTGTTCAGAGTACTGCTGCAATGAAGACACCTCACCTGTTCCTCAGGGCCCTTGGGCTCTGCCCTGCAGGAAATGTTTCTGGCATCAGTCCTAGAACTGACATAATAGACTCAAATGTTTTCTAAAGGCATATTAACACCACAAAGTTGCATCCCTTTTGTACCACTTTAAACTGATATGGCTTCTTCCAAAAATTCCTATAGGTTGGTGCTACTGCTAGAAAGTTTATGTTAGAGGATCCTAGCCCTCCTCCCATTTTCAGACCTACAATTATTAGAGAGTGCCACAGAGCAAGGCTGACTGTTTAAAATAGTTTAAGTCTGTACACATGTACTAGTTTTTTTTCAAGGAGTCCCAAGAAACCTGTTGGGACCATCACTTTCTAACCTACAGCACATCATTGGTACCACAATATCTGAAACTCTCACCAAATATATGCCAGAAATACTAATTAGTTTTGATATTATAAGTTTCACAGCAACCATTGTACAGTAAAAGGACAATCTATTGTTTTTACCAACCTTCTGTCTTGATGATCATTACATTTTGCTCCAGGTCAATCATAGGTTGTACAAGGCATAGCCTCGGCTCCTGCTTCTGAGTAATGCAAACTCCATTTGGATTTGCAACCATCCAGCTGCGGTCATACAACAAGCCTTGTTTTCCAATGGGCCACTGCTTAGCCTGGAGGGAAAAATAGTTTTTCTCACATAGTCAATAAGCACTGAATCAAAAGAACCAAAGAAAGAAACCAGCCCTGACATACTGACCTCCCTGTTCCAAAAACAGTACACAGCACAGCTGTTAGCTGTGGTTGCTACTTACAGTATATCATGTTCTAAAGTTAAAATGAGCAAAGCTCGAGTCATGTTAGTAATGGTCTTGTTCAAAGGCAGTTTTATAATGAATATGACAGAAATCCTAATAGGTTCTCTGAATGCATGTTCACACATACATGTGTGTATATGTGGAGTTCCAAATGTTTTGTCTGTTTTTTCATGCAGAGCAGCCACCAACTGCCTCAAGCCAAGTAGAGCAGCAAGTGAGGCTGTACACACTTAATCCTAGTTACCCTCTGGACATTTTTAAAAAGCTGGACTCCCTGTGTCTTTTACCCTCAGGGATTAAAAGAGCAGCTTGGCATAAACGTTACAAACAGCAAGTAGAGGGTTCACTTGTTTCCTCTTGTCCATCTCTTCTGGTCCTCCACTCAAGTTAAAGGAAGGAAGAAGAACCTCCAGCCAATGAGCCTAACATGGCCTGCAAGAGGTTCCCCATATGGTCCATCTGTTTACCTGTCTTAACTCTGACTGGTGATAACACAGTTTTTCTGCCTCCCCATTCACCCTGTATTTAGGTGTTTTAGAAAGCCCTCACTGGTGCCAATGAGGCTTTAAAAAACCTTAATCAGAAGAGGGGGGGCATCTGATGGAAGAGTTGGCTGCTAGGGAGGGAAGAGCTAACCTTCCCCTTAACACTGTGACCCCACCATCAAAAAACATCCTTTCCCCACTGAAATCACATTTTTAAAAGTCTAATTGTGTCATGGAGGGCATTTTCAGGGGGTGCAGATTGCAGGGGAAGAAGGGATAAAGCTCCGTTCAACATTTTCTATTGCATAATATCCTTGCAATTTGCCCAAAATGCGGTGCCCTTCCCAGAACTGATCTACCTACACTCCAACCTATGTTCCCTCATGCTCCTACTTTCAGGGTCCAGTAACTAGTAATTAAGTCCAGGGAAGAGTTGCAACTCTCTTTCCTTCCCCTTGTTCAAGTTTGGGACCTGTCATCTCATGTACTCAACCATATAATCTGAGACAGTATCTGTGATGGGCTGGATGAGGGCCAATAAACTGAAGCTCTATCCAGACAAGACGGAGGTCCTGTTGGTTGGCGGATTGGGCTTCGGAGAGGGTGAACTGAACTTAGTCCTGAATGGGGTTGCACTCCCTCTTAGGGACAAGGTCCGCAGCATGGGAGTGCTCCTCGACCCAGAGCTTTCATTGGAAGCTCAGGTGACAGCAGTGGTGAGGAGCGCTTCCCTTCAGCTTTGGCTGATCCATCAGCTGCGTCCCTATCTGGAGTACGACTGCCTGGCGACAGTGACACATGCGCTGGTGACTTCCCGCCTTGACTTCTGTAATGCGCTCTACGTGGGGCTACCCTTGAAGATGGTCCAGATACTTCAATTGGTTCAAAATAGAGCTGCCAGGCTGCTGACGGGGACTGGGCACATGACTCCAGTCCTCCGTCAGCTTCACTGGCTTCCCACTGAAGTCCGGGCCCAATTCAAGGTGTTGGTGATGACCTATAAAGCCCTAAACAGCTTGGGTCCTGGTTACCTGAAGGAGCGCTTACGTCCATATACGCCCGCCTGCCCGCCCCTTGAGATCTGCGGGAGAGGCCCTTCTCCGGGAACCCTCCGTGAAAGAAATTAAGAGGGAAGGTACTCAGAGGAGGGCTTTCGCTGCGGTGGCGCCCAATCTATGGAATGCGCTCCCCAGAGAGGTCCGCCTGGTGCCGTCGTTATTTGTTTTTCGGCGCCAGGCGAAGACCTTTTTATTTAAACGTCATTTTAATTGTTAATATTATTTGCTTATTTTATCTGGCCAGGGCGACTTATTTTATATTGTTAATTTGTTTTATATTTTTAATGTATTATATTTTAATTTATGTTGTGGCCGCCCCAAGGCTTCGGCGAATGGGGCGGCATAGAAATGTTTTAAATAAATAAATAAATAAATAAGGAATTAAAATAAAGTGTTTTATTGGTTACATGATATAAACTGAGTTTGTGTGTATTAAAAAGTGGGTTATAAATTATTACAGTAAAAAACCAAAGGGATTCAGATGTAATATATTGAGTAGATCTACTGATAAATGTAGTTTAAGTAAGTCACAAGTAAATTAAGTCCCACTTAATGGTCTATTATAAGCACAAATAGATCTGTATCCAATCCAAATAATTTTTTGGCACCCTAAAGAAGGGGTCCCCAACCTTTTTGGACCTGTGTGCACAAATGGCAATTTGAGAAACTGCCATGGTCACCATCACAAAGTGGTTCCCATGGAAAATGTAGTTAGTCATATAATGAGTACCATGAAGGGCTGTTTAGTCAAAAGAGATGTAAGGAGAAAAATATTCAAGCTAAAAGGCAGGAGGTAGGGAAAAATATCAAGTTAAAGACTCACCAGGGAGAGGGAGTGGTGGTGGAGAGAAAGAGCATGCATGCACGCAAAGCTAGAATCTAGGAGTGGAAAGACAGAGAGTATAAACGGAAAAGGTATGTACAGACAGAAGAAGGTAGGGTGGGTTGAGGAACCAACCAGATAGTTTGGGCTAAAGCTGATTTGTCCCATAGTTTCCAAGCCTAACAGCCCCACTGACAGTTTGTTACAATACAAAACGAAACGAAACAAACAACAACAAAAGATAATCTGGTCAAAAGATGCATTAGAATTACCAATTGATATACTGGCCTGACCACTGGTTGTCAAAAGACTCAATTTTGATAAGCTCTTTGTAACAGGTGCCAAGGTGTCAGATGTCAGCATAGCAGAGGTGCAGTACCTCAGGCCTGGAAGCCAAATCCAGGCACTGTGGGTTCTCCAAATAAAAGAGGAAGCAGAGACATAGCAGGGAGGGCACCTTTCAAGTAGCAGAGAGCACTGAAGATGAGAAGAGGTATTAAAAGAATGAGAGGAAAGAGATGTTGCACTGGAAGGGAAAAGAGATTCTTGGAATAGAAAAATAGTTTGTAGGAAGGAATTGTAGATAGTCCTCCCCTACCTCTGCCCTGAGGAACTGCAGTATCCAGGTTCAAGAAAAGATCAAAAGTTTTCAGTCTTGCCTTCCAACATAACAAGAAACTAAAAATGCTTTGAATGGCTGGGATGTTCCCAGGTTGCCTGTGGGATGTTCCCCACAGCTCCTTAAATTCGTTACTAACTTTTTGTCTGTTCAACCCAATATATCTTCTAATAGTTTCCTTGAAAATGAATATGAACCTGTAGTTCATATTGAATTTCTGAATGAGATCCTCCTCCCACTTATTCCCAATGTATTAAAGTATTTTCATCATTATAAATGTCTTCTAATCCGTGAGCTAAATAATTTGGAAAGTTGGGTTAAAAGTGAATTCAGGAAAACAGGTAAAGATTTATACTTCATTGACCTTAAGGTCCAAAAGCTTGAGGTCAGTGTTAACAGTGAGCTTCCACGGGGTCAAACAAATAGTGGAGCCCCGTCCCACATGGCAGAAGGTAAACCAGTGTCTGTTCCTACATGGACTCATGCATTCAGCTGTGAGTAGCTCGTACACCTGAGCTACGTGGAATCCAGTACTGTACTTGTCTGATCAGTTGCTGTTGTCAGGCCAATACTGGAATCTCATTGAATGGGGTCATGACATCAATCAAATGAAATGTGGTAATATAAGGATAAAACAGGCACTCCTGACACTCCTGAGCTAAAATGTATGCTGTTAATACTTGGTAAAAAAACAAATGGAAAAGAAATGGAAAAACTTGAACTTCTAAAATTCAAATTTGCATAGGGCAGAAATTATTAATCTTTAATTGCAAATACTTATCCATTTCTTTACATAACATCCTCCACTGTAGCACGTGATATTATGTAACATTTCATGAAGCTTTAATGTGGTATCCAATGTGTTGCTACAGGACACACATGCTTGACATCACCTCAGTGAAGTTTCATCAGAAACAAACCAAGTCTTATGATGGATTGGAGGATTAATGTAATTAGATTAATGTAAATAATGGATTGATGTAAGCAGTGCATACAAATTACTAAATTCAGTGTTTTCTATTTTTTTTTTAAAGTTGTAAATTTTTTAACAAAACCCGGTCTTGCCTTCCAATACAAAGAAAACATAAACCCCAGTACTTTTATGTAAATGTGATTAATTTCTATAACTTTGTGCTCAGCAGTTGCCTTGCTTTGGCATGGAAATTTGAACTGGAGTGTGATTCTTTGTTTTCCAGCGGTTCCAGTCTGAATTAAGGATTGTGCTCATACCATGCAAAAGTAATGTTCTTTATATGGAAGAAAAAAATACATGATTTCCTTGGTAATATTTCTCATTGCATTATTCTTTAAGCTCCCAGGCAACTAAAAAAATGCACAGAAAATATATTAAATGCAGGTCAGTCATCAACGGCTCTGACCTCAATTTTCATTCAGACGTGGGACTGTGTGATCCACATGAGAAGTTTTCATAAAAGAGACTATAATGCAATTGACATTCATTAAAGCACCACAAAACACATTGCAAAGGAAAGTTAGATTCTAGGTCAATGTGTAGAAGGCTCATTTATTTCATCATACCTTACTCAACAAAGGAAAAATCACAGAAAAGGTGGTAATTTTATTAACTTTGAAAAAGAAAAGCAATTAAAATCTTCAAAGAGTGAACTTTCAAATAGTGCCACAACACTTAAATGTCATATTTTTGTTGCAAATGTATTTTTAATTATAACATTTCTTTGTAATGCAAATCAGCACCCTCTCAATTACAACACGTTAATCAACTTTTCCCTCACTTGCCACACACCCTTCACTGCCTGCAGCCCATGTCATGCCAGAGCATACAAGCATGCTGATTACTGTATTAGTATGTACTGGGGGTTTTAAGATTAAGTAATAACTAGATGGGGGAG